TGGGCCGACCGTGGAATCCCCGCTCCAACTAAGTTATTAATGTTCGTCGCGCGTTTAGTCCCGTTAGGAATACAAGAGCTCGAGGATCGCATTGATCCTGCTGCTGTCCATTGCTCGCACGCGACGCTACTCTGATCGATTTGAACGAGAAGCAACGAGAATAATTTTCAGTTACAAATTATTCTTGTAGTATTCTCAGTACTTGTATATTTCATCAGATAGTACGATCACACGCTTTCGGTCATGTGTCCAGCGTTAATCGCGATTTCGCCAAGGGATGAGGATAAAAACCGCGTAAATAGTGGAAGATTCGCGTTGAAATTGGCTATAAACGAGCCAGCGACACACATAGATAAACGATAACGATAAGCGTATCGCGAGTGGCTGCAACAGGCTCGTACAATAGCCGGAAGATATGCACTCTGGGCTCGCGGATGATCCCATAATGCCATTAACGCACCGAGCAACTTCCACTCGTTACTGCTTACCGTAGTATAGTCGCCACAGACGGATATTAGGTGGATACAGGCGGATTTAGGGAAATAGCACATTTTTCCAGCATATGCTAATTTAATTAATGGCTACGCGAAAAATGGAGGCGGTGTGCGTGTCTGCGACCGTGTGTCCACGGGAACAGTGTTACCTGTGTAACTGGAAGAGAATACGCGCTGCTATAGCCAGCTACGTTTGTTAACAATCTGATTTTGTATAGAATGAAAAAATATGGATGACAAGGCAGTCGAAGTATTTTATCGACAACGGGAGGTCTTTTAGAATTTTCAGACTTCTCCGAAGGCAATTTCTAACGTGGCTATTGATTGAAGAGATAAATCTTGAGTCGTAAGTGTGTCAAATGTGAACATAGTTTACAGAGAGATAGCCAATGGAGCGAACCGACTAGTTAAGTGAATTCTTCTTCTTGAAACTTACGATTCATTTCGCGTTGTTTCACGGAACGCGAACGCCACGGTCGTGGTCAAACTTTTGATCGATAGTGTATGCACAGACGAGGGGTGATGCGATAAAGCTGGCCAGCTCACTTGTTTACCGATTTTTACCGCCTACCTTCGTGGACAACCGGTTCTCCAGGTACCGGTTGCTCTTTCCTGTCTATAAACTGGTCCACCCATGCACGCGACCCCCCTGCTCCACGTATCCTCGCCGTTTTATCCTACCAAGGAACTTGGATCAATTTCTTCGCTTCTTTACTTTGTTGCAGCCTCTTCCTCCTCTCTGTTCTTCCCTTGAAGAATTTCAAACTTGTCGAATTTCATTTAATTAAAATATTCCGACCGTTGCCTCTTCTGTTTGTATATTTGAAAAAAGTATCGAATCAGTTTGGTCGCGCAACAATGTACATAACAAAGTATGAAAGACAGTAGCAGGACGGTAGAAAGTATTATGCAGTGGTGAACGAATTCACGTAATTGGCGTATCATTTTTGCGACACTGACATGCGACAACAGCCGGTGGTAAATAAGAGAGATACGGTCGACGTGACTCCTTTTATCTATGCGCATACTTGACTCACATACAAATCAAGTATTTCTCGCGAGAGGTATCGACAGTCAGCAGAGATCCGTCTGTTCGGTTCGTGTACCTTGATGCGCGATAAGTGACAACGACTGATAACAGTCGTTTATTCACGCTCATTAGCACACTGTTTCCCATTCCAGTCTTGCTCGATCAGACCTTGGACAATTCGGTTTGCTAAAGATTGCAAAATGAGCAAAGACCATGCGAAAAATTCCTATTGGTTTGTCGTCAAATTGCATACAATATTCAGTGCATAATAAAGACGATGTAATAATAACTTTCGTGGATGTAATAAGTGGACGAGACGTTTCACAGAAGCAAAATGATAAATTCGACTTCTGAAGCGAAATTTCTGCTTATGAATAATTGTCAGGCAGCCACTACCTGGAAGAAGGTATCTGGAAATATGAGCATGAGACGGGCAAAAGCGGTCGATTAAATATGAATGAACATTGTTATTTGCGGCTAAACGGATCTGGCGTGGTGTGATTCAAACAGGCGACAAACACGATCGCCGTGCTGTCGCAGTATGTAGTGGTCTATTAACGAGAATATCGCGTTGAAAAATTCAACGGACCGAGAGGGGCGAGTTTGGAAACGTCACACGTTCTGTGGAGGAAAAGGCTCCGGTTCAAATCTTCAACGCAACTTCCAACAAATATAGTACTAACTTCCGTTCCATTTTTTACTCCAATTAATTTTATTTTGGAAAAATAAAAGAGAAAGAAATTGATTGAGCAAGTTGCCAAGAGAGAAGTTGCCAAGAAAATTTGCGTTTCCATGCGTTCCCTGAAAAAGTGGCGGCGCGACTAAATCGAGCCACCCCGTATAACGCATTCATGCATAGTACATGCGTCCCGTCGTTCGCAAAGAATAGCAGACGCGTTTATGTAGACAGCCATACATATGTAGGCGCGTATGCGCGCGGCGCTCACGGCACATGGCCGATGTTCTATATATAAGCCGCGTTTCTATGTAAGCGGTGTGTGTAACGCCAACGAACCGGCAGATATTCCGATCGATCGTACCGGGTTATCTGACTGCCGACGAGAATTCATTTTCCCTTCCAGTTCGTCCATCTCTCTCTCCCTCCTACTCCTCTCATTCTTCACCCGTGGCTCGCGCGCTCCTCTTTCGCGCACCCATACACCCACCCCCTAACGCCGTTCCACTTTCATTTCTTTCTCGCTCTTTTGCTCGCTCTGTTTCACTCTTCTTCCTACACGCGTATATAATGGATCTCCATGCTTCACGTACACTGCCGTTCAGAAGTATTTGCCAACTATTTATTTACAGTCTTCTTTATTCTGCTCAATTATTAAATTTTTAACAATGTGATTTGTTTTTTCTTTTTTTTTTTGGAAACTGCTATATCTTTAATAATAAGAGATCAAAGTAGAACAGACGTTATTTCATATTGAAGTTCGTTCATTTTTACACGAGGGTTACACAGGCAACTTTCACAAGCTGTAAACGCGATTATATAACTTGTCCGATTGATGTATTCTCTCATTTGTCCCACGAACCACCAGTAACGAATATGGTACTTCATTTTCAAAGTTACCTTCAAGCGTCTTTAGTGTCGATCTGGTCCAACTCGATAAAATTCACGTTGAATGATTGTCGTAAATAGAGAATGCAAGGACTCGCGGAACTTTCGAAACTCAACTCAACTCTGTGTTATCAAATGTTTACGCAATTTCCCCATTTGAATCGACGCGGAAGTCGCTTTTTATCAGCTATGCCGTGGCCTATAGCCTCGTATGCATTATCCAGAGACATGATAGGTGCTCAAGCACATCGATAAACGAGGAACTTTCAAAGTCGTTCTTTTTTTTTTAAACAAACTTTTCACACAAAAATAGCAAGACACCGCAATTTACATGGATTTTTCTTTGCGAAAAGGTTTCTCAAAAAAGAGCAAAGAAAAACATCTCCCTATTTTGAT